TTGTTTTCCTTAAGACTGGGGAAAGGGGAACTATTTATTCTGCCTTAAAAGGATGGCAACCAAGTAACGACGCTGTTAGATGAATGTAGACTATGGACACACTCCTAGTAGGCTAATGTAGCATAGAGAGAGAGCAAGTAGATGTTTTTCTGTTATGTAAAGCAATAATTTTTTCTGTGTCTTATGGAGTATGGCTAGCAGTTATTTATTTCCATGCTAGACGGTTCTTTGCATGTGGGTTCCTTATAGGTGCAGGCATCTCCTGGCCACTGGAGGCATATTGACCACCTTGTCATTTGGACGAGCTGTTATTGGATTGAAATTCACACACCATTTCATTCAAAATTGTGCCTTAGAAAATGCAAAGCTGTTGCACATAGCGATGAACGGCAGATCCAGAACACCGAAGGGAAATGACGTCACTTCCCGGTTCCCATGAGTTCTCTCAAAGGTGTTTGCTGCTTTACAAGAAAAAAATAAAAAATAAAAGATTTTAAAAGACAAATAAAAAAAAGGAAAATTTAAAAAGAAAAAGAAAAGTTTTGAAAATGTACAGATCAAGTCCAATATTTTGATGAAGCACCTGCATGTTTTATTAACTATTTTAATAATGTGGATGTTTACACTTTGCATGATATTAACAGAGTACTTTACGAGAAGCGATGCACAAAACATGTACAATATGGTCATTCATAAGCAACTTTTATAGAATACTTTTTCCATGCGAGAGGCCATCCATTCTGTCAGGAGCACATGAGTATTGCACATTCTTCTGGTTTCACAAAGCCATTTATACATATTTCTTAGTGAGACGCACTGTACATGTACTGAAGCCAGACTGGAGTCAGGAGGAATCAAGCCCCATTCCCAAGCGGAGCGTGCTTTCCCGTAATGAACACTAGTCACCAGCCTGGAATAATCTCCAGCATTTTCTAAATTCTAATTGCCAACTGTTTCTATTTCTATTTGGTTTATATTTCATTTAGGGCCAGTTACATGGCAGCTTCGGCAGACTAGATCTTGTTGTTCTCCAAGGCAGCATAGACGACTATGATCTATTTCTCTTCAAATAATCTTTGAGATCCCAGGAAAAAAAATGCGCTGTTGTGTGGAGCTATAATGTAAATGTGTTTGTTTATAAACCAGACGGGGCAAGTGAGTGATTTATTGTTCCTGGGGGACTGTAGCTGACTCTCCCCCGCAGACTCCGAATGCTTCCTTCCCAAGAACAAGAACGGTGACTCTGTTTCTCACTAGCAAACTTTCATGACATCTGTCCTTCTTTCTGCGTAGTGTCATTAACGTGATCCATATTCTAGTTACCGTACACGGCCTAAGATTCAGTGAGCGGAAGTAATCCACCTTTTGATGGGAGTCCATCCAAGAGATGTTCCTGTTCTGGGTGGGCAACATTCTGTATCAATTTACACTAACTTTCATTTACAATATTTATTCTAAAAATGCCTCTGAGAAATAGTTTAAAAAAATTAAAAATGAAAAGTTGTCTAAAATGCAACAGCTTTTATAGTAAATGTACATTTATAAATAAAATACTCAAATCCACTTGGTATTGCTTTTGTTATTTCTGGGGGGGAGTGGGGTAATTCTTCTTGGGGAGCAGAGAGTCTCATGGCTCTTGGCTCAGGGCTGCCTTGTCAGATGATGGCAGAAATGTGCGTTCAGCTGGGCGGCGGTGGTGGTGGTGGTGGTGGTGGTGGTGCACACCTTTAATCCCAGCACTCGGGAGGCAGAGCCAGGCGGATCTCTGTGAAGTTCAAGGCCAGCCTGGGCTACAGAGCGAGATCAGGAAAGGCACAAAGCTACACAGACAAACCCTGTCTTGAAAAACCAAAAAAAAAAAGAAAGAAAGAAAGAAAGAAAGAAAGAAAGGAAGGAAGGAAGGAAGGAAGGAAGGAAGGAAG